CACAGGGTCATGGTCTCTGGCTCCAGCCACCTGTTTGAAAAGCACCAGTACAATCAGGATTTCATGGGAAAAGTCTTTTTCTAGTCCCCCATTTCCTCATCGGTATGTAGACGTTCTCGTAGCATGTTTGTTAAGATTTGGCCGGGCGGTGGTGGTGCACACCTTTAATCCCAGCACTCGGGAGGCAGAGGCAGGCAGATCTCTGAGTTCAAGGCCGGCCTGCTCTACAAGACAGGGCTTCAAAGCTACAGAGAAACCGTGTCTCGGAATCCTGCCCAGAAAGCAGTCAAACTACTGCCTTCTCTAGCAGGATTGGCTTTGTAAGGGAGCACCCCCAATAAGCTGTGGTCTCATGTTAGTGGTCTACCTGGGCTGGGCTACTAAGAATGAGCTGCCTCACCTGATGACTTGGCTATAGATGGCTCGTGTACCATCAATGGGATGACCTTGCTCTCCCATATTCCCTCCACCCCCAGTACTCAGCCCAGGCTTCTTCCTTTGTGGGCATCAAAACCGAAAAAGACAGTGGTAGCTCAGCCAGGACACCTGTCATATTTGTGATTGACGATTATAATGTTTTCTTTTCTTTTTTTTCCTTTTTTCATTTTGTTCACTTAATTTGTATTTCTGGAAGCAAGAGGACAGCTTTTGGGAGTTAGTTATGTTCTTCTGCCGTGTGAGCCCTGGGGACCAAACTCGTGGCGTCCATCTTGGCAGCAAGCGCTTTTGTGAGCTGCGCCATCTTGCTAGAAGCTTACAGAAAGTAAACATGTACCCGGTGCCATATGGCTGGCGAGTGGATCAAATGTGGATATCTTCATACTCAAACTGCTTGCCCTTAGCCTTTATCCAAGGCTCCCGAACTTGACTCAGGTCCAATCTCACAGATTGAACTAGGTTCGGCTCAGAGACCAGAGCTGGTACCCTAGAATGTATGCTGAAGATACAGTGACCCTAGACGACAAAGAGCCCCAGCTCTGAAGATTTGAGCAGAAAGTCCACTCCGCCTTCATCTTGCAGGGACGGAACTCCACATTTGCTCAAAAGCAAAACAGTCATTTGTGGATTTGTTTTAGTTTTTTAGAGAAAGCAGGAAAAAATATCCCCCTCCTTGAGCCTGGAGAGGGCTCAGTCTGTAAAGTGCTTGCCTTGTAAACCTAAGGACCTGAGTTTGATCTCCAGAACCTACACTTAAAATTCGGAGCATGGTAGTACATGCTTGTAATTCCAGTGTTGTTGGAGGCGGGGGGGGGGGGCAGAGAAAAGGCAAATCCTTGGGGTTAGTTTGAAGGGTCCAGACCAATGTGAGACCCTACCCTCCCTGTCCCCATTCCCCCAAAATGGTAGATAAAGACTCAGAAATGATACCTGAAATGTTCCTCTGATATCCACATGCACGCTCACACAGTTGCACCTGCACACATGCACGTGTGCACACGCATGCACACATACACAGAGACACACAAATAGAGAGAGAGAGAGAGAGAGAGAGAGAGAGAGAGAGACCCCTTCTGTGCAGGAAGGAAGAGTGAAAAATGATGGCAAAACTTGTTGGCAAAGCTTCATGTTTCCAGCACTCCCTGCGACAGACGGACCCTACAATCCCATGCTTAGCCTTGGCTCGCTCTCCCCCACATAAAAACATAAAAGTGGCTCTAAATCTCTCTACTTCAAGTTCTTAAGAATTGTTTTGGACAGGGCTAAATACTTTAAAATGAAAGTTACTAGATGTGGCTATTTGCCTCTTGGTGTTTTGTCAAACTTTATGAGTTTCTTAAACAGTCACTGCTACACTCCTGAGGACTCTTCCTGGAATGCGGTACCTTGGCAGAGCTTTTGGGTGTCTTTGAAGCTGGCACAGGACCGAGTGGGTTAAACCGGAGATGCTCAGCCGTCTCTCTGTCCCTAACAAGAAAGGAATGAAGGTGCCCTTGTCACTGGTGACCTCAGCACAGGGCCTCTGGGGCTAGGAACAGAGTGTTACTTCTTTGAAGAGACATCTTGACAACCTAAGTTCATCTGGACACAGAACCAAAAGGCAGCTTTGATCTGCTTGCCAGTGTCCCTGCAGGGAAGGGATTAGGGATGCTTCCAGAGGAGAGCAAGCAGGATGTCCCATATGCTCAGGGGGGTTGTGCAGGCTGCTGTTGGAAGGAGAGACAGGGAGTGTGGGGGGGGGATGGGAGTCAGGGAGAATGAGGTTGGAAAGAAAGAGGAAGAGAAAGATTTCCCAGCTTCTCTTTTATGGATGGGATGGTTTGGACCCCACCCCCCACCCCCCCCACCCCCCCCACCCCCCGGGAGTCACAAGGACCAGGCAAGGAGGCAGGCTGACTTGAGGCTGCCAAGGTGGAGGTTGGGCATTCATGATCTTGAGCCCTGCATGCAGTCAGAGACTTAGTAGTGTCCTAAACAGTGGAAGCCAAAGCCCTCATGGGGATCTCATCACAGACAAGCAAATGGCTATCAGTCTACTCACTGGCTGATAAGTTATCTGGGATGGATAGAGGAACACAAGAGGGAGGCGTATGTGTTGTCCTTTGCTGACTTAGTGTGGAATCTGAGCAGCCCCAATAGGCACAGATTTAACCATCTGATGATTCTAAACTAGGGTTGTAAACATTAAGTGCATGCCGAGGGTCTAGCAGGCATCTCGCTCAGGATTCAGGTGCTGAGTACCAGACAACAGCCAGCATGCAGACGCCCGTTACTTACTCTGTTCACTTGCAGACAGAACCCCGCCATTTGCAAACTCACTATGTTGAGAGGGAAGCTGGTGTTTCAGTTTAGAGAAATCTTGTAAGATGCTGTGTGTTGAGCAAAATCAGTTTTCAGGTGGGGCCGGTCATCGTCCGGATCTGAATAGACTAAAGGGCAGTAGGCAGGCTACCAGGTACCAAGGAGTGCTGGTTGCTGCCTGAGCTGAATTGTGAAGGGGACCAGAAGGGCCCGGGAGGCCTTTAAGGGCTCCCTCCTAAGCAGGGGATGGTTGACTTATTCAGCCTCTTGCACATTTGGTGATGTGTACTCTGTCCTCAGCTGTAAAGGAAGACAGTGGTGACAACCTGGCCTTCAGTGATTAATGACTAAAGTTACGAAGCCCAAGCGGCCCACATTACCAGAGGACTTGAAATCCTTCCATGAGAATACAGCTGTTTTTGCTCCTGGTTTTTGAATAATGGAGGAGGATTTCTGCTGTTGCTGTTTTTCCTAACAAGCAGGCAAGATCTGTATATAGGAGATGAGGGATATAAAACGAACATGGCTTGCTCACATTCTTTTTGCTTTGCTGGATATGCTTGCTCTTCTTTATTTTGGCTTTGGCAATGGCTAGAAGAGTTGTAACATAGTAAAAAGAACCTCTCTCCCTCTCTCTCTCTCTCTCTCTCTCTCTCTCTCTCTCTCTCTCTTTATGGTTTTTCAAGACAGGGTTTCTCTGGAACTAGCTGCCTGTCCTGGAACTAGCTCCATAGACAAGGCTGGGTTCGAACTCAGAGATCCACCTGTCACATACTTCTTAATATACTTTAAGTTTGTCTGTGTGCTGTGTGTATGCAGTACCAACGGGGGCCAGAAGAGGGCATTGTGTTCCCCTAGAACTAGAGATATAAATAGGTTTAGGCGGCCATATGGGTGCTCAGAATTGAACCCGGGTCCTCTGAAAGAGCAGCCAGCACTCTTAGCTGTTGAATCATCTCTCTAGCCCCTGTTTCTATTTACCTTTTGCCCAGATGCCTCATATTTTACAGTATCTACTTCAGATGGATTTTCTTCTCCCTCCCCTCTGCCTCTGTTTGTGTCTCCTTATCTTTTCTCTTTCTCTTCTCCCTCAGTTATCCTCTACTTCACGGATCCATTCAGAGTTTAGTATTATAATTTGTAGTATGATGTGTGCGAGACTCTGTGCTGTGCATTCATATGTATGCACAGATGCACAAGGGTTTGTACCCATGCAGGTGTGTGATGGCCAAAGGTTGGCATCAGGTGTTTTTCTCTCTTGCCTTCCAGCTTATTTTTCAAACAAAGTCTCTCTCCAGACCTGGGGCTCACCAGTGCAGTTACACTGGCTTGCTGGAGAGCCCTGGGATCCTTCCATCTCTGCCTCCCCAGTGCAGGCCTTTCCATGGGTTCTGGGGTTTTGAATTTCGATCTCCAGGCTCACATGGCAACTACTTTACCCAATGAGCCATCTCTCTGGCCCTAAGGTTTAATCTTGCTTATAAGATTTGGATCTGGAGCGTTGGAGGGGTGGCTCAGTGATTAAGAGAACTGACCTGGGGTTCAGTTCCCAGCACCCACATGGCAGCTCACAATGGCAAAATATCAATGTACATAAAATAATAAATAAATTGAAAAAAATATTTTTATTTAACATTATATTTTTAAGCAAGTGTCTACCCAACTATCCCAGCAATATTTATTAAAGTCTATATTTTTGCCTCAGGGTTTGAGGTACTATCTTTACCTCAAACTAAATCTTTCTTTTTTAGGATTTGCTTGTGGATTTTATTCTATCCTAGGAGTCATTTTCTTACTCCTAAGGTCACTGATTTGGCTGGACTAGCTGGCCAGGAAGGCTTAGAGGTCCTCCTGTCTCTGCCTCCCAAGTGCTGGGACCACAGACACGTGTCACCATTACCACCTTCTTCTTCCTCTTCCTCTTCCTCCTCCTCCTCCTCCTCCTCCTCCTCCTCCTCCTTCTTTTTAATTCTGGAGATCTGAACTCAGGCCCTCAAGTTTGCATGGCAAGCACTTTTTTGTTAAGTCATTTCCCCAACTCCCAGCTTTACATACTTCAGTCTACTTTACATATTGGAACTTAAAAATTCTTAATTCATGGACCATCTGGAAGCCTTGGCTACTTCCGGAAGGTCTCTTTGAGGCTTTGTTCTCCTGGACTTTGGGACTTTAATTCCTTTGTTCTCAATTGCAGCCTGAACATCAAGACCAGAATACACCAGCCTCTTACTGACTGTACTTCTTCTCTTCTCTCCCTTTAGTGGCAGAAGGTCGCCGGATCATCGATAATATCCAGAGATTCTCTTCATTGCCGCCGTACCTGCCCGTGAGCTTCCACATCCTCAGAACTGAGACCTCCTTCTTCCTAAAGGAGGCCAACCCTGACCTGCTGCGGAATGCCAGCCTGCAGTCCAGGGTGGAGTCTTTCTTTACCTACAAGGCCAGGCAGCCCCCAGTATTAAATGCCAGCTATGGGCCATACTCTGCAGAAAAGGTTATACCCCTGGACTTGATGTTGAACCCCAACTTTTTAGGCCCAACAAATCAGTTTCCCTTTGACTGGAGGCTCAAGGCCTACATCCTCCAAGAGAAAGTCTACCTGAGTCGGCCCAAAGTGCAGGTGCTCTTCCATATTGTGGGCAGAGACTGGGATGACCACAGAGCGGCCGAGAAACTGCCCTGCCTGAGGGTCTTTGCTTTTCGAGATACCCGGGAAGTTCGGGGCAGCTGCCGGCTGGCTGGGGCCCTGGGGCTGTGCATAGCCCAGCTGGAGATGTCGCCTGGCTGGTTCAGTCCCCCGATGATTATGTCCGGGCAAAGGAGGCCCGCGGAGCAGCCAGAAGGGAACCTCGTGGAATTGTACTACACTGTGCATCCAGGGGACGAGCGAGGGGATTGCACCGGAGGTGACACCAGAAAGGACAACGCCATCCGTCCAGGGAAGGATGGGCAGGAGGACAGGACGTCCCACCTGCAGAAGATTGGCAGCATTGGCCTTTTCCGCACCCAGGACAGCATCCAGCTCAGCGAACTGCGTTTGGATGGCAATGTGGTCATCTGGCTGCCCTCCCAGCCCGTCAAGCAGGGAGACATAGTCACTGCCTCTGTCACCATCTCCAATAACTCTACTGTGGACCATTTCATCCTGAGGTAGGTGCCCAGGCTGGCCCCTGCCATGCCGAGTCCAGAGTGAAGTCTGACTCCGCGCATGGGGTAGGGCAATTGCCACCTCCCGGGGGACCCGCCCCTTAATACAGAAGCCAGTGATTTCAAGCCACGGTGTGCTGGGAAACTGTTCCTAGGCTCTGTCTGTTGTGGGTGATGAACGGGAAAGAGGGCGATGCTGCCTTGTAGGTGGCCCCTTTTTCTCTGCCAGCTACGGAATTAAAATTCAAGGAAACAACCCTGTGCAAAATGAGCTCATCGACTTGCAAGTTTCGTTGACTTCTCAGATAAAGAAGGGGCCCCGTAACTGGGGAGACCACCCACTTTAAGGGGCTTGGGAGTTTTCATTTTGTGTTAGGGTGTACCACCCAGTGATTGTCCCTCTTTCTCATTTTCTATTGATCCAAAGGCTTTGTACCTTCCTAGAGACTAGCTTTCTCTGTCTGTAATGTTGATGAACTGGTGTGAAGGTGGAAGCCCCCATTTTATTGTGGGTGTTCCAACAGTCATAGTGACCCAACACTACCAATGAGGGTGATGGGCTTGTGTTTCAGAGAAATGGAACCTTCATGCTGGGGGCAAAAAGCCATGCAAAAACCTCAAAGCTGAGAGATGACCGTTTGTCTTTCTACCATCCTGGGAGCCCATGGCCTTAGGATGGCAAAGCTGAAGAATTTCAGTGTTGTGATGATTTCAGTCTTTGGCCCTGAGGTTTCGTCAGACTGGAGAAGGAGGCTAACCTGTCTTTGTCTTCATTTGCTTGTCTACGGATGTGGGTGTGATATGAGCTTGCTCATTCACGCCCAGCCCAGGGGTATTGATGATCCCTAGGCTGTATCTAAGAAAAGAGTCTCAAGGCTTATCTATCTTGTACTGTTGGTTTCATGTTTCCCTTTGGGAGCTAGGACAGCTCAGTGATTCTAGGGGTATGCCTAGCAAAACAGCAGACAGGCACCATCTTGGGAAGCTCGCCTCCATGGCCACTGTGAGCTGGGCACAGGGTATCCAGAGGAGCTCTTATGGGCTGCATCTCACTAAGAGGGTTTTGGAACTCAGCTCAGGGACATGTGTTTTATAACGTGCCTAAGGAAAGCCCCATGAGGCAGAGCCGCTTCAGAGGAGTCCAGGAGTTTCACAATAGGGAAAGGCAGTTGATGTTTGTCTTCAAGTAAAGCTGAAGAGTGAGATAATCAAAAGAAAGGGCTTTTGATTGGCAGTCAGAAAACCTTGGGTTATAATTGATGTAGCTACATTTTGTTCCTCTTAGAAATATATATATATATATATGTGTGTGTGTGTGTGTGTGTGTGTGTGTGTAAGTGTGTGTATATGTATATATATATATATATATATATATATATATATATATATATGTCAGATGATTTGCTTTGGGGGAAAATGTTTTCAAAACAGAACGCCAGCCTGCTATTCCACACTTTAGTGCAGGCTTATTCTTGCAGTCTGGCTGCCAGGATGGTTATTTTTAAGGCTTTTGCTTTTTTTGCGTGTGTCACATAAAGAATTCAAATTCTAAGATTCTGATATGTTTCTTAATCCCGCATGTTCCAATAATTATTTACTGAGTGCTCTGTCTTATCAATATACACACTTTCCTGTGTCTGTGATCTTCAGGAACCAAACCGTGATCCAACCGTGGTCCCATCTGTTTGTGTTAACTGAATATTCAGTGGCTGAGCAGCACCCTCTGCTCTTTCTTGCTATTTATGAGTGGACGGATGCTGTGGGTCCAATTTTCTGTTGCTCTGGGTGTAATTGAAGAACTTAAAATACAACCCCCTCCCTTTGCAAAATCCATGTCTTTCATGGACTTGAAATGGATGGGTTCAGGGGCAGGGGCTTGGTGGGGGGCAGAGTATTCTCTGGAAATGTGTCTGTGGCTTCCTGCAAGTGCCATCACCTTATCAGTGAGGAGCCAGGGTGGTGGAGATTCAGCATGAAGATCCAGCTTCACCGCCACTTCGCCCTACCCCCACCCCCCAAGCTGAGCAGGGAAGTTACTGATCCAAGTTCTGAGTTTAAATCTGAGTTCATTGCTTTGCCTGGGGCTCTTGGATCTTGTAAATTGAATACAGGCAGTACTGGCTTGGGGATGTGGGGCTGAAGGGCAGGCAACTGCAACACTTGGAGGGAGTTATGACATGTCAGCGGCACCCTTTGTTGTCCCCCACTTGTGTGAAATAGCATTCCCCTTGAGAAAGTGCAGCCTCTGCTCTCCACAGGGTGACTCTGAGACCCCCTAGGCAGCCTGGATCTAAGCCTGGTTGCAGGGGAGTTGCTCTGGCTATCGCAGAATGATGTCTGGATTTTCCATTCTTAAGTTAGAACCTCTGTTCTGGTCCTGTTCCTGCCACACACAGCCTGGGTGACTTGCAAGGCTTCTCTTCCCAGCCTCAATCTCCTTATCTTAAAGATAAATTCAGTTTTATTACCCGCTTCCATAGGTCTGTGGTAATTCTGTATTTATGGGGTGGTTTATACCAGTGTCTCGAACATAACAAAGATTGAATATTATCCACAGATTTTTAAAAAAAAAAATTATGAAACTCCCTTGAGTTCTATTTTAACAGCGGAGGGACATTGTTCTGTGAATCCCTCTGCTCCCATGCTTGTCCTCCAAGCTGTACTGATTGACATATCACTCTGGCTTTGTTAGGAAGGACCATCTTTTAGAAAGCAGGGCTTTCAGAGCACAGAAGTGAAAAAGTCCCCAGAGTTGAGTGTCTTAGTGTCCCCACTCTGACTCACAGCATTCTAATCACAAATCACAACAGGCCTCGCGCAAGGAGGTGAGCCTTGCTTGCACACAAATGCTACATGTCCTCTGACCTTAAACTTGACACCAAGTTTCTCAGCACAGAAGACCTAGAGCACACAGAGACCCAAGTGCTTATGTTTAGAGCACATGCAGAATCCCACGTGCTTATATGTAGAACACACACAGAGACCCACGTTTTTATGTCTAGAGTGCACACAGAGACCACGTACTTACATCTCAGTTCTGAACCCAGTGACCAGAAAGAAAAGTCTTGTCTGATGGTTTGCCTTGGAGTGATCCACTCTCATTCCAAAGACCCAATTTTACTGTTTGAAATGGGGAAGGGAAATCATTTAAAAATAAAGGGGCGATAACTCAGCAGTTAAGAGCACTTACTGGTTTTCAGTCTCCAGAACCTCACAAATGCTTGTAACTCTCGTTCCAGGGGCTCTGGTGGCTACTCTGTGGGTTCCTGCATGCATGTTTACATATAAACTCACAAAGGCAAATACACATAATAAATAATAAATATTAAAAGGTGAAGAGTGACTGGGGAATTATTGTTCAGAGAGCCACACCTCGCCATGCTAGACTGGGGACTGGAGTTCAGGTCCCCAAGGCAGCCCACCAGTAATTCCAGCCTTGGGAAGAAGACATAGGAAAGTCACAGAACAAGCTGGCTAGGAGACCAGCCACATCTGTGACCTCTGGGTTGATTGAGAAACTCTGCCTCCATGAATAAGGTGTAAAAGAGATGGAGGATGGTTCCCAGCATCCACCTTGGGCCTCCGGGTGCTCACACATTTGCAAAAATATGTACACACACGTTGAAACACGCATTCACATACATGCATGACACAAATACATGAAACATGGGAAATAAAATAGCACAAAGTGAGGAGAGAGTTATGGACGGTATAGATATCTGGGGATTTTCTGCTATCTGGCTTTGAGTTGACCATTGGCCCATTTGACCAACTTATCATATGGTTTTCCATTCTGTGCTCCCCTATTGCAGATCTCAGCTTTTCCTGTCTCATTAGTCTCCAACCTCTACCTCGTCTATGTATCTCTTTGAAATCGGGGCATGGCAATACATGCCTTGAATCCTAGCATGCAAGAGGCAGAGGAAGGTGGTTCGCTGTGAGTTCAAGGCTAGCCTGGGCTACATGGAGAGTTCCAGGCCTGCCAGGGCTACACAATGAGACCTCATCTCAAAAACAAAACAAAAAGCAGCTCATTTCTTTTTCTGATACTCCTGTGGCCAGCTGCAGAAATCACTCAGTCATTCTCAGGTACCTTCTCCCAACTTCGTCCCTCAATCTGCCAATCCATACCTTGCTTTCAAGGCCACACATTGACCATTTTAACTAAGTTTCATGTGATATTTGGATTAAAAACTCATGTCACAAGGCACATTATCCCTTTCAAGTTTATTTGTAACTGCGGAAATTTTTAAAGCGGAATATGCCCAGTTGCCTTGGGCAAATTTTGGAAGAAATGTCCAGTTTCCCTTAAGAGATGTGCCCTGTGGACAGATGAGATATGAGACCTTTGCCTGTGCAGGGTGCCCTCTTCAGGCCCTGGATTTGGAGGGGGATCCTGCATCATTGATGGATTGTGCGCGCTCTGCCCACTCTGTCAAACATTCGCCGTTAAACATCTGGACTGAGAAGTGACCACAATATTTGGGCACGGTTACCACAGCCTGGACGATGATGATAAGGCCTGCCTTCTCAACCTGGTACTTGTCAGATGAGCAGGCATGTTCAGACACTAGATGCCTTAAGCTGGGGAGCATCTCAGAGACCCTTGAAGACCTTAGCATTTAGCCAGGGAGGCAAGGCTTTGCTCAGAGAACGCATCCCACAAGCAACTTCATGAGCAGTGAGCCCTCCAAGCCAGGCAGGAAAGCTCTGCGCTCCAGCAGGCTGGAGAAATAGCCATGTGCCTGTAAGATGCTCAGGGGGCTCAGGTAGCCACCCTCCTCCGAATCATCCAGCTCTTATTCCACAGGGAGGAGCTTGGTTCTCCGCCCACCCCCACAATTAACCCCTTAAGAGCAGCTCTGTGAAGCCCGCTCTTGAGCAAATGAAAGGCTTGCATTCTCCGAGTTGTTTATTTATTTATGTATTATCTCATGTCTCTATTGTTTGTGACGCATGCGCATGCGTGTGCCCATGCTCGCAGAGGCTGGTGCTGGATATTG